AGGTACTTCATGAAACCGAGCCGCTGGAAAGGGTGCACCTTGATCTATGGGGAAAGTCAAGAACGCCGAGTTTCGGGGGGGCAATCTACCTGTTTCTGATATCGGATGGGGGGACGGGGATGAAGTTTCCGGTATTCATCACCAACAAGCGAAAGGAGACCGTTCTCGAAGCGTTCTCGACCTGGCTGGTGTCAGCTGAAGTGCAGACAGAACGGAAGCTGAAGGTCGTTCGCGTGGACCTCGGGAGCGAGTTCGACAACGACTTGTTCATGACGTTTTGCCGAGAGCGTGGAGTGACCGTCGAGCGAGTCCCAAAAGCGTCGTCGTCAGCGCATGGTCACGCGGAAAGGGGAAACCGTACGGTCATAGCGGGGGCGCGTACACAGCTCATCGAGTCCGGCCTCGACCCACGGTTCTGGGCAGAGTCAACGGCTGCACATTGCTACGTGCGAAGCTTCATCCCATCGGCGAGACACCCAGACTCAGTTCCGTGGATACGCTGGTTCCAAAAGCGGGACGCGGACGGGAACCTGGTCAAGCCTAACGTGTCGCACTTGCGGGTCTGGGGAAGTATATGCTGGGTGAAAGACCTGGACGATATCGAAGGCAAACTGGGTCGCCAGGGCTGGGAGGGTCGAATGGTAGGATATATGGGACGACGAGGCTACCGGATATACGACCCGAAGCGCCTAAAGGTATTCGAAGTGCGAAATGTTATCTTCGAAGAAGGGGACGCACATCGAACCAGAGGCGCAACGGGATGGACCAACGGCGAAGATATCCTATCAAGCGAAGAAACCCCCCAGGTGCACGAACAAGTCAGAGACGCGACACTGGAAACAACAAGCGAACCGTCGATCAGAGGCCAGACATCGGGCGAGGCAGCCGAGCGTGCGGAGCCAGAAATAGCGACACGACCAACGCAAATGGAGGTACCAGAGCTGCCGCGGCGGAGCGGACGTATCCCAAAGCCCAGCCGAGCCGTTTTGGAGTCGCAAATGTCAGGACGTATCGAGGAAGAAGCCCGGATTGCAGGAGAAGACTGGGCCAGAGACGCTGTGAGACCGTCAGCAAACTGGGTCAATATTGGTGATGTATACGAAGAGGAGGACGTGTATGCGCTGGCGGGAGTAACAAAAGGGACATTACCGAGGAGTGGAAACGAGGCGATGAAAGACCCGTTATGGCGAGAACCGATGGCGGCAGAGATGAGACAGATGGACGAGAAAAGGGTGTGGAGTTTGGTGGACCTCCCAGAAGGAGAGCGGGCAATAGACGGGATGTGGGTGTTCGACCGAAAGCTGGACGGTGAGGGAAACGAGATTAAACGAAAAGCAAGATACGTCGCGCGGGGAGATCAAATGATAGAGGGACGGGACTTTGGGACGAAGTGGGCGATGGTAGCGAGAATGGAGTCCGTGCGAATGGTCTTTGCGGTGGCGGCAGTAAATCGGCTTCACGTGCGACAGTGGGACTTCTCGGGAGCGTATTTGAATGGCACGATGGACCGACCTGTCTTCATGAAACAACCGAGGGGATTCGAGAAGAAGGGGGAGGAAGACAAAGTATGCCTTCTTCTCAGACCCATCTACGGATTAGTGCAAGCGGGGCATATATGGTACAAGACCCTGGCGGCAGGCTACAAGCAGCTGAACTTCCACGAGAACGCAGCGGACCCATGCGTCAGGACACGAAAAATCGGTGACAGTTATACTGTGACAAGCACACACACTGATGATGTAATTGGGGCCTCATCCACAGACGTGGAAAGCAAACGGGTGGTCGAGGAATTCGCGCGGATATGGGATTTGAAGGAGGTAGACGTGAACCTCTTGCTGGGTCTAACTGTCGAGAAACTCCCAGATGGATCAATATCAGTATGTCAACGCCAATACTTTGACAAGGTGCTCGATCATTTTGGCTTCTCGGATCTACCCCCGCTGTCAACCCCACTTCCGCCCGGCTATCAAGTCCGCGCATCGACATCCCCGCTATCCCCTGCAGACGCGGAATTCATGGCGAACAAACCGTTTCGACAGATCTTGGGGTCAATTGTGTGGGGGAGCAGTGGTACCCGACCAGACCTCGCATACGCCTGCTGTGCGCTTGGACATGTACAAGCCAACCCAAACCCCGAACATTGGTCGCTTCTCATTGGCGTATTACGGTACATTCGGGGAACTATGGACTACGGCATCAAGTACTCCCCCAACGCCGTCGGGGACGGATCCGGGTTGAAGCCGATGGGGTACGTGGATTCGGATTGGGCCGGGTGCGTGGATACCCGTCGGTCTACCGCGGGGTATATCTTCTTCATGGGTGGAGCCCCAGTAGCGTGGTCGTCGAAACGTCAAGCAGTGGTGGCACTATCCTCGACCGAGGCCGAGTATATCTCGCTAGCGCGCGCGTCCCAGCAAGCCATTTGGATGAAGAATTGGATGGCGGAAGTGTCGCTACCTCAAGAGCTTCCGTTGAAGATCCTGGGCGACAACCTCGGTTCGATCAGCCTCACGGAGACCACGAAGGGCCACGGACTTGCCAAGCACATCGATATCCGATACCATTATATTCGGGATCGTGTCAGCGAGGGGGAGATCAATGTCGCGTCCGTTCCGGGGAAATTGAATGTTGCCGACATCATGACGAAGGCACTCGGGAAAGCCGACCACGAGAGGATATGCCATGCGCTCGGGCTCGACTGGAGGAGGTCTGACCGCCAGGGGGAGTGTTGAGCATCTGAGTTGATGTGGGCGATCAGACGTGATCGGATGTTGGGGGTTGTTGTGGACGTCTCACCCCCTATAAGTTTTTCAGGATCGTTTACCGCTCCTCAGTCTTACCATCATTACGGTGCGACTGAGGGTGCGTGTATCATTCCTTCTGCCTTATCTATTTACTTACAGTACTTGTAGACTTACGTATTCCGATTGTCTACAGGTACAGAATAGAGTCTTACCATCATTACGGTGCGACTGAGGACTTACGTATTCCAATTGTCTACACTTGCTGGTGAATCCATTGTCTCATATTCCACCTAGGAATCAATTCAGGGCATGTCAAATCCACTCTATTACATCTGTTCATGTTGCAACTAAAGCAAACTGCTTGTAAAGTAACACAGAACAGATGAACTTCAATGAGTCCCAGACAGGAAGTGTGACATTAGGTGCATAATTAACGTGTGGTATTATCCACTGGGTAAGATTAGACTGTGCCTACAGCATGATCAGTTTACCAATGGGCATGTGTATAGAATGAGCAGACGAAACAATCAATGAGTTGACAGTGGACCCGATGCAGCCCATGATGTCAGCCCACCTACCCTGCCAGCCAAAAAATGAACAAATCACACTTTCTTTTTAACCCTACATGCCTGGATTATGCAGACAATATTGCACAGTTTTGATATCCCAGCCCCTGCCGAAGCATCAGGGAGTCACATGGCTGTAGCTGCAGACCAACCCCAGACACAGCCTCCAAACTCCTGGCAAAATGAAGGATAATTATGCTGCATGCTATGACCACAGCGAGAATAGATAGATCAAAATATGATGCAATGCACCCCTACCCCTGCTCCTGTGGTTGACCCCACAGCGGGCCCTGCGGCACCCCCTGCGGCACCCCCCGCAGCACCCCCCGCAGCACCCCCCGTGGCACCCCCCGCAGCAGACCCCGCCAAATGATGGGATCAAGTGCATCACCAGTCCCATTGTGCAGGGTGCATTTTGGGCTTTCTAAGCTCAAATTCATGCTTAACTAGTGTATTTACCGATAGAAATGATACCAGGATGGTTTGGGGAAGGCTTCCATTTTTTTGGGCGGAAAATCACGTGATTATGCGCCCATTGTCTGCCACAGCATGCAATGGATCAAGCAACACCTCCGAAATCATGCCGAATGGTGCACAAAAGGTGCCCCAAAAGTCACGTGATAATGCGCCCACTGCCCGCCATGGTGTGCGGGGGGCCAGTAGCGCCCCCGCCAACCCCCGCCAACCCCTGCTAGCCATTTTTGATAATTTTCATGCAGTGCATCACGTGATTTTTTTACCCCGCCATCAGCCGCCATCCCGCCCATTGGATGTGTCATGTGATTCATTTTTTTTTCGCGCCCACCTGCCCGCTCCCAATGATAAATCACATGACATGTACAGACCCCCCCCCTGCTGACCCCCGCATATGCCCCCGCCCCCAAATGGACCAAATCCCCCCCGCGGGCCCCGCAGGGGGGTACCTGTTAGGTACCCTCAGAGCTACGTCTGAGGGTACCCAGGAGGACCCCCGCGGGGGTGCAACCGGGTGATGGCGGTGGTAACTGAGGTGTATCAGGGTGTCTGGCAACACCTTGTTGATCAATGCAACATTGCAGTTGTACCGGGTTGCAAGCGCCGTGACTATTGACTTTTTCCGGACAGCGTCGGGCCTCAAATACCCCGAACGTGGCGGTAGCAACACGCAAGACGGATCTGCAGGACCATGTAAGCTGAAAGTCGAGGGAAGATTGGGAATGTACAATTTGGATGGGAGAGTGAGCCGAGAATCTCTCCGGTAGGTTTTTCGAGTGCAAGCTCTGTGAATACATTATAAACTGCTTTGATCTGTGTGAGCTGTGCCTGCTCGAGAACATAGCGGTCCAAGGAAGCCCATGGCCATCGGCGGCTGCGGATTCCACGCTGAAGACTTCCACAGAAGCGTTCCATTGTGTACGCCCAGTAGCACCACACAGGTCCACAAATTTTGATACTCGGTGCGATGTGGAGCAGGGCATGAATAGTAAGAGGACAGGTCGACAGCCGTTCAGGATTATACTGGAAGTACAGCCTATTGGCATCATCGTGATCAGTAGTGTCGAACTGCATGAGAATCCCACTCACTCTTCATATCTTTGGACCCAATTGATGAAGCCGACACGTATCTCTTCGACGTTCCTTGTGGTTGATTCATATTGAAGACACATGGTCAACAACTGGACCAGCTCGATGAAGTGATAGTAATACTTCTCGTTTTGGAACTTGCGCCGCAGTAGCACTGGACCCAGAAATAGCGTCCAGAAAGACCACATCTCAGCTGATACATAAGAGCGGTCTTTAGAGATGTCTGGTACACGGCTTCCAAACAAAAGCAAGGAAAATGAGATCAACTAGTCACAGTATGCTCAACAGGCTACATCAACGAAAACAGAACGATCCCAGCCCAACACCTCTCCCCGATCCGTTACACCTTGCACATAAAACGTGACGATGCCCCCGGCTGGACGGTCAAACGGCAGGTTCGCAGCCGCTACCTCAAACGTTCGAGCGCGACCAGCATATCCCGACGTGCCAATCCAGCTTGCGTCACTCGGCTGCCTCGCAGCTTGGGCACTGGCGCGGTACTGCGCAAGGATGTTGAAGTAGAGGAAAGCGGGCAGAACAGCATCGTCGAATGTCGGCCAAGCTGGGTTGGGGTCCTCTGGCCCCGTGAGGGTGAGTCCCGATAGAGGTGCAAACGTCACTGCCGTCTCCCACGTGAGGGTTCCATCGAGCCCAGTCCCAGAGAAGTCGGCCCAGATGAGACTGGGCTGGTGGCATTTGGCCCGCGCGACATCCAGTTGCCCCAGGAGAAGCGAAAAGTCGAGTGGTTTGGAGGCATCCTCCGAGACGATGGAGATGAGCAGCCCCGCTTCTGAAACAGACGCTGTTCCGGCTTCTATCCGAACACAGAGCCTGGTCCAGCCACCGGGCAGCGATGCTGTTGTTTCGGCAGTCGTGACATCGACGCCCTTGAAAGAAAGCGCAATATCAAGATCGACGTTCGGATCCTCGCGTTCGAGCTTGTACCATACACTGGCTTCATGTACTTCCGATGAGTCGAGGATGACCGAGTGCACGGGGATCCGGATGCTTCGAAAGGCTGGCTCCGCTGAATCTCCCTTGGGCGCCTGGACATGGAGCCTGAGCGAGCTGCCACCGTTCCAGGCATCGTCCAATGTTATCTCCGATACCACCGACGGTAGAGCGATGTCGCATTCACCATCTTCCCATTCTGGCACCGGGTATGGCCAGACCAGATTGCCGACACTCGTCTGCTTATCGAGGTCCGTCCAGCCCTCCATTCGTTCGAACACTCGTACGCCATTGACCCACCACCCACGACCGACACCCGGACAGAAAGTAGTGTGGAAGGGCACACTTGATGGGTGATGGGCGAAGAACGACTTCACAGGTAGGAAGTCGCCATGACTGCAGGCCGGTTCTCCAGGCCGATTGGGTTTCACCGGAGGGACCGGGACCTGCTCGCCAGGTCGCAGACCAGTCCAGAGTCGCCGATCGTCGCCGAACCAGCCTTCCCAAGTGAACCCCGCGTCATCTTGTGTGTTTTCCCACGTCCAGCCCTGGCCAAATATCGCGGTGCTCAGGGGTGCGATGTGCTCGAGTGCTTTGTAGATGCCGAAACCACCGCCGCCGTGAGATCCACGCCCAAACACGTCGATACCGACAAACACGTCCCGCAGCGGCTTGGACGTGGACAGCAGGTATTCCGTGGTTCTTGCGGTGTAGCTTGGGGGCCACTGGGACAGTTAGAGCGTTTCGGATGAATGACACAGAGCCGGTTACTCACGGTGTAATTCGTGAAAAACCCAGTTGAAGGCAGGAAAAACGGGAGATTGAAGGCATTCAGTCTGTCTTGCCAAGCGAGCTGACCAGTAACAACCACGCTATCATACCTGTGGATTGGATCAGCGGCAGGGATTAGGTGGGGAGAAGATCGCTGACCAGATGACTTCAGAATGCGACCCGACCCGGTCCCTCAACTCTTCTCTCAAGAGTGCGATCCAGGCGGCAACCCCTCGCGTCTGTTCCATCCCTCCCGCTAAGGGACACTCAAAGTTCAGCAGGTATCCGTCGAAACCACGCTGTTGAGCAAGCTGAGCGAGTAGTCGCGCGTAGTGCGGAGAAAGCGGTAAAGAACGAAACTCGGTCGATTGGAGAGCTGGGCCCGTCTTCGATTGCGGTAGCTGGCCAACGAGCAGTCGGAGGCAGTCATTCTCACTTCCTCCCTCAAAGATCCTACAATTGAGATGAGACCCGGCTCTTCGACGCGGTGATTACGCGGTTACAGACAATGTTCCGAGCATTTTGACCCCTTGTCGATGTGCAGCAGTGATCCACCCGGGAGGAGGAATCGTGACACGATGATGCGAGAAGCTACGACTACGATGACGACGAAACAATCGGACGAGTGGAGAGAGGCGTACTAGATGAAGATGTCTGCCATCCACCAGAAGTTGAACGAGTATCCGAGCGAGAACGGACTTTCTGTGTATCCTCCCTGCTGTGTATGAGCCCCCGATGCGCTACCACACAACGATCGCGGTCAGCCGGCAAACCTTGTAGTCGTGGCACACCTGGGCTCTTCAATACGGCATTACGCGTTACAGAGACTCGTGCGATTCACCAGCAGCTTTCCTGATGCGTTGGGCGCCTCGGAAGGCATGCGAGCAGTGAACTTCAGCACACCATCGAGTGGTGGATGGGGTCTCTGAGCCCAGCTGTCGAGTTCCTCCAGTGATCGGAAGTAGGGAGCATCGTCTCCAGCAGTCTCGTAGATGCTGCCCGTTATTGGCATGAGATATAAGTGATGATCTGTGGAAGCCCGGATCCGTGATTATGGCATCGCGAACGCTACCAGTGCGGCTTGCCAAACTTGGTCACAAAAATAAGTATGAGGATGCTCGAATGTACTTTGATCAGGCAATGAGGGATGGATTTCATTGTTTATAAGTACGATTAAAGTAATACAGTGTTTCGAAACCAGCAGGCGACAGACATTTTGATAAGGTAGGAAGTACAGTGCGCAGATCAGCCATCCTTAATTACCGCGCGTAGGGATGGTAGTTGTGCTGGCCACGTTGTCCGACCCGCTGCGGGCCAACACCAGGATTGCCCATGGCAGCGGGACCGCCGGGCGGTGCGGCCGCACTCCCCGCGCGCGGCCCACGAGGCACATTCGGCCCCAAAGAAGCATTATTGTTCTGGGCCATCCCCCGGCCCATTCCGCCCATTCCGCCCATACCAGCACCGGGCATGCCCATTCCTCTCCCCATGCCCATGCCCATTCCACCCATCATGCCCATCCCCATCCCGCCGCCCATGCCCATCATCGCAGGGTTCATCTGTCCGTTCGCCATCTGGAACATCCGCGTGTAGAGCGTGGCCAGGGCCTGCGGGTCAAATGATGCGTTCCCGCCGCCACCGCCGGCTGCGAAGTTGCCCTGGCCGCCGAAGTTGCCACCTCCGCCTTGGAAGTTGCCTCCGGACTGGTCCCCATCTTCGTTGGGGTAGTTGTCGCGCTGGTACCGTGGCTGGGCAAGTTTAACGTCGATCTGGACCATGGTGAATAAGCAACAGTCACGTCAGAGTCAGGATCTTGCATACCAGTTTGCCGTCAATTTCAAGATTACCAAAGCCCAAGAAAGGCTGCACGTTGGTGTCCTCGAACGAAATGAAACCGAAACCCTTGCTGCGGCCGGTCTCTCGGTCAAGCATCACCGTCGAGTCGATGACTTTGCCGAACTGCGAGAAGAACTCGCGCATGGACTCGGACGTGACACTACCGGCAAGTCCGCCGATGAAGAGCTTGGTGGCACGCTGGTGCTCCTGGCGAGGAATCGCACGCTTCGGGTCGATCTGGGAACTGCTTTCAGAGACCTGAATGCACACAAATAGCGGAGACGCTCACGATTTTTCCGTCCAGGACGTGCTCCCTGGCCATCACAGCATTCACACTCGCCGCGTCTTCGAAGGTTAAAAAGGCAAAGCACCGCGAGCGTCCTGCAGCATCTCGCATAATCGTGCATGCGTCGACTTTCCCGAATTGGGAGAAGTACGTGCGCAGTCCCTCTACATATGAAATGAGCTTCCCGTTACAATCGGTGAAAGGGAAATATCTACCGTCTGTCGTGTCCCAGTTGAGCCCACCGATGAACATCTTGCTGCATTGCCAAGTAGATTCAAGGAACGAGCATAGAGGAAGAGCAGGGAAAAAGTGATATTAGCATCCCGTAAGCTAGAACAAAGTCACAGAGATAAAACGGAATGGACAGACTCTACGTGGGGTGCATAGCCTAGCCTAGACAGTACGACCGCAGCTATTACGCAAGCTAGTGCTAGCCTAGACGAGGATTGACTACGCGCGACTCAAGAATGGGCCTTCGACAGCCTCCGCACACCCACAGTAGCCGCTTCTCCCAGTCATCAGCCGAGATGGAAGAAAGAAGTACGCACCCTTCATCTTTCATTTCGGAAGGGCGGACGCTGCGTTCGCCCGCATTTTGATAGTCCGCACCGTTGGTCGAGCCACGGTACTCGTTTTGAGGCTGTTCGTAGGTAGGAATTGATTGCGTAACGGGGGCATACGATGCTATTGGCTGAGCAGCAGGAACGGGGCGGGCTTGAGTAACGGGGGTGTCGTGGGGGGCGGCGAGGTTGGGCTTGGAGGCAGCGGGGACGGGAGTTGTTTTGACCTCTGTCTTGACCGCCGGTTCTGATTGGCTGGGGACTTCGACTGCTTCGTCAGCGGGGCCACCGTACTCGTTGTCGTCGTTGCCGTATAGGTCTGTCAGCAAGAACGCATGAGAATGAGGCAGAAAGGGGCGAAGAATAGAACGGACCGCCATAGAGATCAGCTTCGAGGTCAGACATGTGTGTTCAGAGCGGACGAGGATTAGGTTGGTGGTGGAGGGGAGTGAAGGCACTGAGACAGCGACCCCAGCCACACAGCAAAAAGTGACAATTGTGACAACTCACGTGCCTCATGTCATCATCGAAAGCCGAAGGTCGTTCCGGCAAAGCCCGCGCCGATCGAGGTTGACTCTTTCGTAAGTGCTGATGCAGGTTGCCCTGGAAGCTTTGGATAGCTGGAAAGGCGCATGAATAAATCTATGGCCTCCTATGGCTCGGGAAAGATAAAAGCTCATCTACCCCTGGGATGGGGTCTGGTTCAGTTACTTATATTTGTGATCGCGCACCATGTTCCGCAACATAGGCAGGAGTCATTAGCTCATTTAACCCTGCCACTGGATTTCACGATTTCAGTCTGAGTCAAGCAACATTTCCGGGATATCATCATTGCTGTTCATAATTGCCATGTCGACGGGCGAATTTTAACTCTGGAGGCAAACTTTTAAGGCGCTGGTTTATGACTCTGAGAAGGTGAGCCTGTGTCAAGCGGATGTCGCCTACGGAAGTACTGACATTTATATTGAGACAAAATAAACTCAGAATGTATGACATCGTCACACCATCAAAATGAAAACTAAGCGTTAAGATATCTTTCCGACAAAAACGACTTTCTTCCGGACTGCTTCACTTCGAATGTTGAAGCCATTACAAGGGAAAGAGGAAGATAATGTGGGACATATAGTTCAGGTCAGTCAATGGAGTTATTCCTACAGCCTGACAGGTATCTATTCGAGCCAAACGACTTGTACATCTTTATCTTTGGGCATCATAAGAATTTCTCCCTGGAACATGACCTGTAGACTCGGTGAGTGATTTTGCGCAATATTTTACACCACTGCGGCGAGCGATCAACTTATAACGACCTTCTTCTGGCGCTTGGCCGCCCGGAGGGTCCCGTTTAAAGCCTCGACTGCCGTTTTCCGCTGGTCAAGATCGTTGGAGATCAGAGCCAAGTGGACAACTCACGTGTATTTGCAGTCTTATCGAACAGTATCCCGTATGCAACGGAGCTCTGTCCACCGGCGTCGGTGGTCCCATGCTGCTTGATCGCGTCTGCAAGTTTCAGAGTCTCAGGGCCGATGGCTAGGAATCGCACAACCTCGGAGAACGATAATTTCTTCGGAAACATCCACTGAAGAAGAATCCATCTGTGCAGTATAGGCGCTTGAAGGCGAAAACACTCACTGGTGTATGACCAAAGGCGAGTCCCAATCAGGCAAGTGATCAAGGAGCCGGTGGCGGTGCTTGTTTAAGAATGCGTGCGCATGTTGTTCGCTGAGAACGGCAGAAGCCAAGGTTTCGCCCCTCATTGTGAAATGCCTAGAATGTAGTCCGAAGATAAACCAGGGCTATTTCTTTTTGCAATAAGCGTACGAACGGTCATGTTCCATGGTCAGAAGATTCAAACGATACAACAGAGGCATTGGGACGATACCATAATTCCAGGATGGCTTTCTAGGATTCGGTATTCATGCCGGAAAGCGAAATGGACACCGTTGAATAGCGATCAGTAGCGGCAAGCGTTGAGCAAAGAACGAGATGATTCGGTCAAAGCGAGAAATATTGAAAATGACGTAAGATATCAGTTTGATCTCCAACCAGTTCACGATTCGTCTCAGGAGAGGGTAGACGATCGTCTGTTTGAAGCGGGCCTGGCTATCTAGGTCTGTGAATGCTCATGCGATTCAAGGGAAAGAGAAATCCTACTGAAATGATCAAAGATCTTCGGTCCCGTCAGACACTGCTGTCGCATTTCCGCCGACAGCTCACACGACCAGCAATATCCAAGATGTGAACGACAACTCGAGCGAAATCTACGCAAGAAAGGAATCCGAGCCAGAATCGAATTTCACTGAGAAGTACAAGTTTTGTCCTTTCTTGTGTTTCGGAAAAGCCAATTGTACTCACCTACCCGAGTCGTTCGCCCCCAGCTGACCTGCGTCGAGCGTCGCGTCGCGAGTCGCGATAGACAAATGGCATAACACGAGCATACATGTGGCTGTGTATCGAGGTTTATGGCTTCCTCACCCTCCAAGCCGCTAGTCATCCACCTTCCTGGGTCAGTCATGTTCAACGGAGAGCCGCCATTGCGACGTTCGAGTCGTCAAAGCAATCACTCAACCGGTTCCGAATATAATCCTCACGAAACATCTTCGCCGAATGGGCCATCATTCGAGGAGCCGGAGCCAGAGCCACCCAAGGAGATGACCACTACGCGTTCCGGGCGGCGCGTTGCAAAGAGACAGTACGCAGAGAGCGAAGCTACCGACGATGCAATCGAAGGCGGGAATCCGGCCAACCTTTTCGACGGGGACGACAATGACGTGGGACACGGTCGAGCGTCGATGTCTGATGACAGCCAACGGCCACGACGCATCAGGCGGGGGGGCCAAATGAGAAGGGGAAGCTTCATTGCCAGCGAAGACGACGAGCCCCAAGAGCCCCGATACGAGATGCGCACCAGGATACAGAAGAAGCCGTCCCCCACAGCGACTTCAGGCGCCTCGAGACAAATACGGAAGACGAGAACTACGGCCCAGGATCGCGCTGCTCGATACGCTCGGAGAAGTGTCAAAGAAGAGGCCGACTATCAGCCCAACGCACATCAGTCATCTGAAGATACCCACCTGGGCTCAGATGCCGACGCGGACGGCGAGCTCGACCCTGAGGAACTCGAGCCACCTGAGCCGGAGGAGGAGGAGGAGGAAGAAGAAGACGACAACAATCGTCCGTACTCATTGCGGCAGCGGCAACCGGTCAATTACGCCATCCCCCCACCGCTAGAGGAAATGTCCCGTCCGCCCCCGCCTCAACGACCGACCGGCCCCAATCGAAAACGTACCAACAAGGGGCCGGGATGGAGTGCTAGCGGCGCTGAGCTGGGGAGGTGGATGGGCATGAATGGGCCTGATGACTCGGACTCTGACAATCCCGGCAACGCACCTAGAACTCCGCGAAAACCAGTCGCATTGGGCTTTACCACGACGCCGATGCCGATGGGAAGCAACATTGGTGGGGGTGCTGGTATGGGCAAGGTTACAGAAGCTGCGCTTGCAGACGCGGATCCTTTGGGTGTGAATCAGAATGTGACTTTTGACGAGGTCGGTGGTTTGGACGATCGTACGTGTATCCGGATCTCCTGGGGACTTGAAGGACTCATTTTTTTGTATCAACCAGACATCCATGCATTGAAGGAGATGACTCTACTTCCTTTGCTCTATCCGGAAGTTTTTCAACAATTCAACGTCACTCCACCCCGAGGCGTTCTCTTTCACGGGCCGCCCGGTACTGGTAAGACACTTCTAGCACGAGCCCTCGCTGCTTCTTGCCGTACAAATGGTCGTCAGATCAGTACGTTCTCTGGCACCTATGGCAGGAACTTACTGACCACTTCCCAGCATTCTTCATGCGCAAAGGAGCTGACATCCTCTCTAAGTGGGTCGGTGAAGCTGAGCGCCAGCTTCGTCTGCTGTTTGAAGAGGCACGAACACACCAACCCAGCATCATCTTCTTCGATGAAATCGACGGTCTTGCACCCGTGCGGTCCTCGAAGCAGGACCAGATCCATGCCTCTATCGTTGCAACGTTGCTGGCATTGATGGATGGCATGGACGGCCGAGGGTCTGTCGTCGTCATTGGTGCTACGAACAGACCAGATGCCATCGATCCTGCATTGAGGAGGCCGGGTCGGTTTGACCGGGAGTTCTACTTTGGCTTGCCCGGCAACGAAGCGAGGGAGAAGATTCTCGGCATCATGACCAAAGGCTGGAAAGGATGGGGTGTTGATGGTGATGCCGAGCGACTTAGAGGTCTTGCTGCTCTCACCAAAGGGTACGGGGGTGCTGATCTCAGGGTTCGTGTCCCTTGCTCAAGCGCAGCTTGCATGAGCTGATGTTGAAACAGGCATTGTGCACAGAAGCCGCGCTCAATGCGGTGCAACGCCGATATCCGCAGATTTATCAGACTTCCGACAGATTGCTGCTCAAACCGGAGACCATCGAAGTGGGGCTGCGAGACTTTATGATTTCAATAAAGAGTTGGTATCTTCTTCGTCCGATTCGTCCCGCGGTCGTTTTCTGATACTATCACCCAGAGATTGTCCCTGCAGCAGCACGATCTTCGTCCTCGGTTGCTGTTCCCCTAGCTCCACAATTGGAACCGCTTCTTAGCACTGCTCTGGAACGAGTCAAGAGCGCCATCACCCGTGTGCTTCCCGTCGACAAGAAGTTGTCCGCTCTTCAGGAGGCCGAATTTGAGGATGCCGGCGGTGAAAGCGGAGCTTTGGAACGAGAGTTGTTGATGCAAGGTGAGTTCATTTGCATCCTATCATACATATGCCTTGACGCATCTCGCTCAGCGATGTCGTCTCAAAGGGTGTATCGTCCACGTGTTGTTCTGCACGGTCCTTCCGGCATGGGTCAGACTTTTGTTGGTGCCGCGGCGTTACATCATCTAGAGGGGTACCATATACAGAGTCTCGAATTGGGAGCCTTGCTCGCTGATTCCACTCGGGTGCGTCTAGCTACAACATCATTTGACAGTACCAACTCTCCTCTAGTCACCAGAAGCAGCCATCGTACAGCTATTCGTAGAAGCAAAACGGCATGCACCAGCCGTCATCTATATCCCAGCGCTCCGAACTTGGTGCTCTGCAGTCTCTGACACGGCGCGTGTGACTGTTGGCACAATGCTTGAGACACTGGCACCCTCAGATCCCGTGCTGCTCCTTGCTGTGGTCGATGGTCCCCTGAAAGCTCTTCCAAGGGACGTCCGCTCTTGGTTCGGTGTCGGTGAAGCCGGTGCCCGAGTCGAATTGACAGGACCTGACGTCGATTCGCGGGTCAAGTTCTTTGCCAGTCTGGTGAAGGATCTGAGGCGACCGCCAAACGAATTCGCTGACGGCGTTCCGCGGCGCAAGCGGGTGCTGGAGGTGCTGGAAATCGCGCCCCCGCTAGAGCCAAGGAAGATGAGCGCGGCCGAGTTAGCTGCTCAGGAGGAGAACGACCAGAGAGTGCTGGCGCTTCTGAAGTACCGCCTGGAACCTATACTGGCTCTGCTCAAGCGCAAGTTTAAACGGTTTACGAAGCCCGCTGTGGTCTGTTCTATTGCTTGTGGCATGAGTCGTATTCACTGACACATCGTTTCAGGAAGAGTACGGTTTTGCAGCTATCTTTGGACCGGACCCTTCCGACGAGGCCGTGCCCGTTGCTGCTGAAGTTCCTGTCGTGGTGCCCAACGGCGATGTCGTCATTGCGGACGGTGGATTCCCCGTCGTCCCCAATGGAGACGTCATGATGGTCGATCACCCCGAAGTTGCTATCGTGCCCCCCGCACCGCAGCCAAAATTGTTCGATATCGACCTGGAGCGGATGCACACCAACTTGTACAAAGGGCGGTACCTGACGCCAGCGGATTTCCTTGCTGACGTCGAGAAAATGGCGCTCAATGCAGCTGCACGTCGGACGGAGGATCCGGATCGGTCGTACCGGGCTCAGGCTATGCTGACTGCTACACAAGTCAGCATGCATGAGTTTGATCCGCAGCTCAGATATGAAGCTGAGCGCATGGCCCCAAGGGAACGGGCGAGGCGAGAGGCTGTGCGTGAACAGGAACGGGCGAAGGCCAAGGAGAGGGATAAGGAGGAGAGTGGGAGTGAGACTGGGGTCCGGCGGAGTGCGCGACATAACGGCCAGGCGCCTGAGTTGACCATCACCGATCCCGTTCAGTTAGAGCGAAGACTCAAACGGCAGAGATCTGGTGATGCCGGATCGGAGCCTGGCTCGAAGCGATCTCGGACAGCGGAACCCGTGGATGGGTACGGATCTGACGATCCACTGAACTCGCTGCCGTCGCGGCAGGAAGATGCGATGGTGGTTGATCCCGTCGATCCCTTCTTGAACCCGGCTCCAATTCCACTGCACCCGACGGCAGGCTTCGACCCAGCCTTGCTGAACCCGGCTCCGGTGAACAGACCGTTCATTCCTTCCCAAATCCCTATACATTCTCTGCTATCGGAGCCTACAAACGAGCCAACCCCTACCCCTGTAAAAGAACCGACCCCTCCTCTCAAAGAACCGACACCTCCAAAAGAACCGACGCCTCCCCGAGAACCCACGCCTCCGATCCCAGCACGGTCGCCCACTCCCCCACTTCCTGAGTTCAATCTCGACGAGGGTCTGGTGGGCAATCTGGAGAGCCTCCTACGGGACTCGACTGCCGGTCTCACCGTCGAGCAGCTTGAGCAACTTCGCGCGACTTGCCTGGCTGCGGTTTGGCGCCACCGCACAGAGTGGGACCGGAACTCGGCAGCTCGCGAACTGTTGGATATCGTCCAGGAGTTTGCTGATGTTGTTAAAGATGAGAGCGAAGACGAGATATAAGGTCTCCCATTTTTTTTTTGGCATATCCGCATTTTACACTTACTTTGTTGTATCAGTCCCCCCAGTCATTATTACTATTGTACCCACGCCCAACACCAATCTATTTTCATCTACCGGTTGTTGCCAGGAGCTGTGATCATCCCATGGAAGGAAGACTAGAACCGGTCCGAAAATTCTGCCATCTCGAGGGAAGGCTACTTAACGCCCAGCCGAACAAGCTTACCAGGTTTGGAGTTCCAGGGCCCTAGTGCTGGCATGGCTTATGAGCCATGCTGCCTTAATGCAATGAGCCAGCCCCTTCCTGCGTGATGTCCAGGCCCTTAAGGTGGTGCCAGTGGTTGACGCGTGCACACACACATCCCTCTCGACATCGGGAGGTCTGAAAAAGATTCTGGGGTTCCGCAAGTCACATATTGTGATGTGGTTTGCGGCGAGAAGCTGGAGGCCTAGCAACGGAAAAATGGCCCCAGAGTCCCCCGGACAAAGTCGGGGAAAATCTCATTATTTTGGCGCCTGCCGTGTAAGGCATAAATCAGTCATCGGAGGTTCTTTGTTGCTCCGAGAAGAAGCCGAATAGTTCACACGCGATCTGCCGAAAAGCTGTCAGGCTCGTCGAGCACCGTGATTCGTGTATACATGTGCTCGTGACATGTGAGGTCATACCGGAGAGTTTGCACGTGCAGTTTGGAACGATAATCTCACGTCCTGCTCTCAAATAAGTCACTGTTAGGCCAAGACAGAGTCCCAACCGTTTTTTGCTATAGCGGGCCCGAGATTTGGTCCAGTTTTCCATTCAAACAGAGTAGGTCAGATTCAAATATCTGCATCGGGATAAGCCGCGCAGATCAGGAATTGATTCGAAGATTCCCGATCAAATATGTCATGCTTGGACTTCCTGACTGATAACGGGTGACCGCTTAATCTTCGCTCTCCTCTGCCCCGCTTCTAGCCGCTCGACGCCGTCCGCCAAATTCTCACGCCGCCGCGACGCGTCCCCGGCAGCATTCCTGACAGTTGATATAAAAGTAGAGATGGTCACAGCATTCTTCTCAGCACGCCTTCCTTTCACGACATGGCTACCTCCAGTTCCTCCTCCATAACGATGCCTGGTCTGACGGAATCACATCCTGTCCCCGTCAAATCACACGATGACGCTCCTGGCGCCCCCGATCTCAGCTTTCCGTTCGAGACGACGGACACGGCAGAGGGTGGTGTCACGAACGAGTACCGCGCCGCAACGAGGACTGGTCTGATGTCTGCAACTGATGCTCTGCGACCTGTACCGGCACACACGGCCCCCTCTCGACCGCACGCACTCTCTGACCCTGAGAAGGCGAAGCAACTCGAAAAGTACGAGTTTGTCACCTGGAAAGTCGACGATCCAGAAGACCCTCGAAACTGGTCACCTCTCTGGCGGTGGTGTGAGTCTCTCTTTCTGCTGAGAGTCGACAGTGCTGATTTCTGGTACTTAGATATCACTGGTGTCGTTACCTGTGCTGTTGTTTCCGTCGCCTTCGGAAGCGCTGTCGTCACCGGTGACTTCAAGGACATTCAAGCTGAGCTGCACGTCGGCGAAGTCGTCGCTGCCCTTTCGGTCTCTCTAATGGTCGTCGGATTTGGGTATGTCTATTGTCCACCTCTCTCAGGCCAACGCTTATATGATTGGACAGCCTTGGCCCTCTCGCATGGTCGCCGCTCAGTGAATTGTACGGGCGGAGACCCCTCTGGTTGATACCGTTCGTCTTCTACGTCGGTGGGTTTTCTGCCTGCTGTGATAGCGAGATCGCAACTGACTATACTCCTGAAGTCTTCAACATCCCATGTGCTCTGGCGAAGAATATCCAGACGCTGCTCGTCTCTCGATTTTTGTGCGGCTTTTTCGCTTCTGCGCCGCTCACTTTGGCTGGCGGTACGATCTCTGACATCTGGGACAACAATGAGCGCGGGCTTGCCATCGCTTTCTTCGCTGCTGCACCGTATGGCGGACCTGTCCTGGGCCCCATCGTTGGTGGATTCGTCGGCCAGAGCGTGGGATGGCGATGGATGTTGTGGGTCAACATGATCTTCGCCGGCGTCATGTGCGTGTCTTCTGTCTGCTAGCGCTTTCGGTGCTAATCGGTCTCATAGTCTGCTCTTCTGTGCCACCATCCCAGAAACCTTTGCACCCGTTCTATTGCGCAAACGTGCTGCAGCATATCGTGCCGAGACCGGACGAACTGATATTGTCACTGAGCAAGAGCTTTTCAAGAAGTCGTTCACCCATATGCTTATCGACACTCTCATTCGACCTTTCCGTCAGTACTTCCCGTGTCTCCAACTGGACCGCATGCTCACTCCGCAACAGAAATGATCGTCTCAGAACCGATTCTGCTATTGATGTCGCTGTACATTGCTCTCATCTATGGTCTCCTCTACGCGTTCTTCTTCAGTTTCCCCGTCGTCTTTGGCGAAGGGTATTCGTTCAGTGACGGCCTCGTCGGCCTCACGTTCTGCCCTGTCCTCATCGGAGTCGGCCTGGCTCTGGTTGCGACGACTCAGCTGGAGAAGAACTATCTCCAGCGTGCTATGGCAAAGGGCGGCCGTGCTGATCCCGAAGATCGTTTGGTTGGAATGATGCTTGCTTCGCCTTTCGTTCCCATATGTAAGTCTCCCGTTTGATGCACTTGAGAATCTTTCAACTGATTGCTCTCTGCAGCTCTCTTCATTTTCGGATGGACGAGTCCCCCGTATGTGATGCCGGGTGGTGGGAACTGGGTCGGTCCCGCCAGTGCTGGCATCCCCTTCGGGTTCGGCAGTACGTTCTTTTCGGTCGCTGCTCTTTCACCTTGACTGATCAACATTCAGTGGTCGTGATCTACTCGTCTGCCAATGCATACCTGATTGATGCGTTCCCCGGCTACGTGGCCTCCGCTCTGGCTGCCAAGACGGTCATTCGTTCCGGTGCTGGTGCGGCCATGCCTCTGTTCATGGTGCAGATGTTCCACGGCCTGGGCAACGGATGGGCTGCGTCACTGCTTGCCTTCGTCTCGCTCGCCATGGTCCCCATTCCATTCCTGTTCTACAAGTTCGGCAGTTCCATTCGGGCACGTTCTGAACGAGCCGCCTAATTGATTTCTCATTTAAAAAAAGCAAATGGCATCTACCCACCCTAGATCTTTGTGGGTTGTATATCAATCCTTGCAGTGCGCCTTGTAATATTTGTATAACATCGGATAATCCAAAATAATTGGCGTCGAGACTGCCAGTGCGTGACAGTCACCCCGCATCGTCGAGGCTCAACTCAGTCCACCCGGCTACCCAACTTGTCGTCGGCATCAGCGCTACGCCAGCCAAGTTTTTCATCTCGATCATTTGGAATTCAATCACTCCGCTGTAATGACCTGCATGCTCGGCAGCATTCGCCAAGCCCAGCCCATTGGGGACGTCAGAGTCTCAGAGAGGAGCTACAGTTCCCATTTTCTCACTGCGCACTCGTTTCCACTCACGATCGCGGCTCCCATTGAAGATGCAGCGCGTGTGGTCCGTATATCTGGATGGAAAGCGCGCGACTCATAGCACCCTGGGACCCAGTCATGGTTCGGTACGGTTTCTTGCCAACTTTCCGCCTACGCAGCAACGGTCTCATAGTCCTCCCAGCGAGAGTCATCGTGGGCATTGCATCGCAACCGAGACCGCCAGTAGCACTGACTGCTTCCACAGCACATCCATGACGTCGAACGCATCCGCATCTTCCACATACCCCATCTTGGATAGGGGCCGTGTACCCGAGGAGCACACACTCGAGCCACCGCGAGCCCCGTTCCTCCACGACGACGATCGCACGCCGGGCTCCAGCCGCAGCAGCTCCCCTGCCCCGATATCCGTCGGGAGCACGGTGTCGCTGCAGGTGAACTATGTGCCGGCCAAGTTCTCGCCTGCCAGTGTGCGACGGAGGAAGGGGAAGACGGACGCCGGGCTCAAGATGGGCGGGGGTGTCGAGGCCTTTCGCGCTGGCGAACATCGCATGCCCCTCTCTACGGACCGGAACTACGACGGCGTGGATGTGGGGATGGACTCTGGGAGAGCACACTGGAACAGGTTCAAATGGGCGTTGGTGATCTCCAATACGATAGTGCGCATGCGTTTCCCCTGATATTCTATATCGACTTACTCTCGTTCAGTACACCATCGCTTCTCTGGCAGGACTTGTATTCCTCCTGATCGTCTGGTTCGACGTGTGGAAGCATGCTGATGTTGTGCGAGCAGCGAACTTCCGAGAGCTCGTTCTCTCAACAACGGCACTGAGTTTGGCGCTGCTCACCTGCTGCATTGGCTGGGCCGGCATTGTCTTGAACAACCGCGCCTTCCTCGCTGTCTACACACTTTTCCTGTGGATCACGTTCGCATTGATCGTCGCACCTGGGTACATCACCTACAAGAAGTACGCGTTCAATCTCCAGGGCAAGCTCAGTGCGCAATGGTCCAGAGCACTCGGCTCCCAAGGCCGATTGCGCATTCAAGATCAACTGCATTGCTGTGGGTGGTACAGTCCTTTCGTCGAAGCGACTGTCAGCCCGACCTGCTATGCTCGTAGCTCTCTGCATGGATGCTACGGTCCCTTTTTGCAGTTCGAAAAGCAGCTCCTTCACGTCTGGTTCACTGCCATCTTCGCAGGCGGCGTCCCACTCTCTCTGGGTGCTATCTTCGCTGGCCTCCTCTGCTCTAACCACATCACATACCGATTCGGCAAGGGAATGATGCCCAAGGCCTATCAGATGTCGTCCCACAGCTTAGCTGTTATCGCAGCTTCGTACGCTGCAGCTTGTTCGTTTTGTTTCCAGCACTGATACTCATTCTCCAGACACAATCTCAATACCCGAGACATCCGCTCGAGCCCCTCGACCGCGGATGTCAGCGCGCCTCTACTGCCTGCCATCAAGTCGTGATCACCCGTAATAATGACTTTATATTGTGTAATGCGCATTCTTGTCTCGTCGGTACTTCTTTTTCTGGTTGTAATCATGCAAGTACACGGCAATACGAGAAACGAGCGTTCCTATCTAAATTAGGCGCTGAATTTCTCTAGTTGTGCTAGGTCTCGAGTTTTGGATTCCGGGTCCCAGTCCGACGACCCTCACGATTCTTGGAATCGAAAACCGA